ATGCCAAGTCTTTATTTACTTTTGGAAGTTTGTTCAATATAACACGATTCTCACGTGCCTTTTCAATAGTATCTCTAATTTTCTTCTTACGATACTCTTCAAACTCAAATGGATTGACTACAGATTTTGCCTTTTTATAAAGACGAATATCCATAAAATAGCCGTGCATATATGCCCTCAGTAAATTTGTTCCAATTAAATGTTCTAAGCCCAAAGATTCTAATTCTGTTTTTGTTATAAATTTATAATCATCGTACACATTCTCTCGATTACTTTCTTCCAATTCCTCAGTTAAAGAGTCCAAGAAACTGGCCCACTTCGGAGCTGGACCTAAGCTAGGGATATAATATGTTTGAATTTTTGGACATTCATTTGCTAGGAAAAATAATCCAGTTCCGGGCACAGTGCACAGGTTATTAAAGTCAGATGTTGCCTCTATAGATGTAAACAATTGTCCCTAAAATATTGTTGTCTACAAAACAATTACTAAAAATGTAGCTATAATTACATTGATCTTATTCCAAACTTTGAGTATGGAAGAATCCATTGAAAACACAAGGTCTTGTTGAAAATGAAATTCTACATCTTTTATAGGCATCCCATACATATGATCTTTAATATAAAATGGCTTGTTGGAACGTATATCATACAATAAAATTTGCCCAGTTGCTGTACCAACCCCCATGGTCAATGCTCCATCAAATTTTAAAGCCGTAACTGAAGGAAACCCTTCCAAGCTAAAATATATGTATATAAAGAAAATTATACTAGTTCCCTCCCTGTACCTCTTATTTTCAGAAATACAATTGAATGCACAATCAAGGGAGCCAACCATAGTTTTACTTCTCGGATCCCATGCTTCGACGTGACCTTCTTGTGTCCCGCATATTAACAGATGATGTACAGAATTAATTGCGCATTTATTGATGGTTGTAGCATTTGAAGAAAAAGGTAACAAGAACTGTCCTCTTTCTAAATTTAATCTGTACACATCTGATGAGGCGCCGACAATAAATAAATCACAACTGGGTGAATGGAATTTCATATCCCTCCCAAATTTAGGTATTCGTAATCTATGATAACGTCCTTGTGCAGAATGAAATTCCAAGTATCGATCACATTGTAAAAAAACTAACTGCAACATTAACAAATAAAAAACATAATCACAAGACACACGTTATTACTTTGCTATAATCTTCACTTAAAATCTCAAACGTAACCGCCTCTGCATCGTAGCACCTTTCAAATTTCAAAGATAAGTTATTAACATCGAAACATTTCACACGGGGTTTGTATATGCCAGTTGCTAAAACGTATTCACCATCTTGGGAGATACGTATCGATGTACTGACTCCTGGCATGTCGAAATCTTGAATAAGTTCAATACGTTTTCGAATATCCACATTTTTTTTAAGTATTGCTCTGCGTTTTCTCTCCGATAGCCACTACAAGTAAATTGGACATGTAAGAAGTAATGTAGTGTGTTAACAATTCTTACCTCGGGTAATGATTTTCCCACACTCAAATTATAAATTTTAACATTATTTGGATCTGAAACTTGCATTGTGATTAGTTTAGTAAAACCACAACAAACACACGTGTTAAAATTTGGAGGTTATATTGGGTTTATTGATATACAGGGTGACAATTTGAAAACTTACCACCCCCCATATCTTAGTAAATAAACGAGATATTTAAAAAAATCAAAATCCGTTTCGGTAATTCGGAGGGGGAATCAAAATGACATACTTGGCGACGCACCCCCTCCAACCCCCTGCGCCACAGCCACCACAACTTTTAAATCTTAAATAGTGACCCCCCATGTGTGATACGTCGTTGGAAAGCTCTGAAAAAATGCTTTCCAACCATACCAAATAGCATTACATTTAGGTTAGTAATTCTCGTGCAAATCAAAAAATAAACATGGAAAATCGTATTTAACTTGAACTTCCAAAGCCGACTCGACAGCAACTCATTTTTGATCGCCAGTTATAATCTATTCTCAAACTCTTGTCGAACCTTTTCAAATATTGGTTTTGCAATATTTCGACATTCTTGAATTATTCTCTGTCTTAAGTTCGTCTATGTTCGCCGGTTGCGTTTTAAATACGACAGATTTCAAATGTATCATATTAGTTTATTTTTTGATTTGCACGATAATTACTAACCTAAATGTAATGCTATTTGGTATGGTTGGAAAGCATTTTTTTCAGAGCTTTCCAACGACGTATCACACATGGGGGGTCACTATTTAAGATTTAAAAGTTGGGGTGGCTGGGGCGCAGGGGGTGTGAGGGGGTGCGTCGCCAACTATGTCATTGTGAGTCCCCCTCCGAATTACCGAAACGGATTTTGATTTTTTTAAATATCTCGTTTATTTACTAAGATATGGGGGGTGGTAAGTTTTCAAATTGTCACCCTGTATATGAAGTTAGTATCACGTTGACACCGTTAAGCTTTGGTTTTTAGTCCATAACTTTTGATTGAGAAGTCTGATCGAAAAAGTACGAATTGTTTTGGATTCTACGCACCAAAATTAATAAGAAAAAGTGTTTTCCCGAGCAATTTTGGTGCAGCCGATTTTTGGAAAAAAAGAAGGTTATACACTGCCTTTTTTTTGCCCCGAAAAAAAAATTGTCTCAGATCGACCAGGAAAAAATTTTTTTCTTATAGAATGTGGCCTGTAGAATCCATAATTTCAAACAGTTCCAAGATTGGGCTACTAGTTCAAAAGTTACAGCCCTTTGAATTTTCTTTCGAAATTGGTTTCTAGTCTATAACTTTTGATTGAGAAGTCTGATCGAAAAAGTACGAATTGTTTTGGATTCTACGCACCAAAATTAATAAGAAAAAGTGTTTTCCCGAGAAATTTTGGTGTAGTCGATTTTTGGTAAAAAAGGAAGGTTATACACTGCCTTTTTTTGAGCCCCGAAAAAAAAATTGTCTCAGATCGACCCGGAAAAAAAATTTTCTTATAGAATGTGGCCTGTAGAATCCATAATTTCAAACAGTTCCAAGATTGGGCTACTAGTTCAAAAGTTACAGCCCTTTGAATTTTCTTTCGAAATTGGTTTCTAGTCTATAACTTTTGATTGAGAAGTCTGATCGAAAAAGTACGAATTGTTTTGGATTCTACGCACCAAAATTAATAAGAAAAAGTGTTTTCCCGAGAAATTTTGGTGCAGTCGATTTTTGGTAAAAAAAGGAAGGTTATACACTGCCTTTTTTTGAGCCCCAAAAAAAATTGTCTCAGATCGACCCGGAAAAAATTTTTTCTTATAGAATGTGGCCTGTAGAATCCATAATTTCAAACAGTTCCAAGATTGGGCTACTAGTTCAAAAGTTACAGCCCTTTGAATTTTTTTTTCAAATTGGTTTCTAGTCTATAACTTTTGATTGAGAAATCTAATCGAAAAAGTACAAATTGATTTGGATTCTACGCACCCAATTTAATAAGAAAAAGTGTTTTCCCGAGAAATTTTGGTGTAGTCGATTTTTGGTAATAAAGGAATGTTATACACTGCCTTTTTTTGAGCCCCGAAAAAAAATTGTCTCAGATCGACCCGGAAAAAAATGTTCTTATAGAATGTGACCTGTAGAATCCATAATTTCAAACAGTTCCAAGATTGGGCTACTAGTTCAAAAGTTACAGCCCTTTGAATTTTGTTCGAAATTGGTTTCTAGCTGGTTTCTAGTCTATAACCTTTGATTGAGAAGTCTGATCGAAAAAGTACGAATTGGTTTGGATTCTACGCACCAAAATTAATAAGAAAAAGTGTTTTCCCGAGAAATTTTGGTGCAGTCGATTTTTGGTAAAAAAGGAAGGTAAATAACTGCCTTTTTTTTTGGCCCGAAAAAAAAGTTGCCTCAGATCGACCCGAAAAAAAAAAGTTCTTATAGAATATGGCCTGTAAGATCCATAATTTCAAACAGTTCCAAGATTGGGCTACTAGTTCAAAAGTTACAGCCCTTTGAATTTTCTTTCGAAATTGGTTTCTAGTCTATAACTTTAGATTGAGAAGTCTGATCGAAAAAGTACGAATTGTTTTGGATTCTACGCACCAAAATTAATAAGAAAAAGTGTTTTCCCGAGAAATTTTGGAGCAGTCGATTTTTGGTAAAAAAGGAAGGGTTTACACTGCCTTTTTTTGAGCCCCGAAAAAAAAATTGTCTCAGATCGACCCGGAAAAAAAAATTTCTTATAGAATGTGGCCTGTAGAATCCATAATTTCAAACAGTTCCAAGATTGGGCTACTAGTTCAAAAGTTACAGCCCTTTGAATTTTCTTTCGCAATTGGTTTCTAGTCCATAACTTTTGATTGAGAAGTCTAATCGAAAAAGTACGAATTGTTTTGGATTCTACGCACCAAAATTAATAAGAAAAAGTGTTTTCCCCAGAAATTTTGGTGCAGTCGATTTTTGGTAAAAAAGGAAGGTTATACACTGCCTTTTTTTGAGGCCCTCAAAAAAAATTGTCTCAGATCGACCCGGAAAAAATTTTTTCTTATAGAATGTGGCCTGTAGAATCCATAATTTCAAACAGTTCCAAGATTGGGCTACTAGTTCAAAAGTTACAGCCCTTTGAATTTTTTTTCGAAATTGGTTTCTAGTCTAGAATTTTTGATTGAGAAGTCTGATCGAAAAAGTACGAATTGTTTTGGATTCTACGCACCAAAATTAATAAGAAAAAGTGTTTTCCCGAGAAATTTTGGTGTAGTCGATTTTTGGTAAAAAAGGAAGGTTAACACTATGCGAAGTATTCGAATACTTCTCAAAGTATTCAAATACCTTGCGAAGTATTCGAATACTTTACGAAGTATCCAAATACTTTGCGAAGTATTCGAATACTAAATATTTGTGAAAGTATTTGAGTTACAAAAACAAATACTGCTTCCATAAAAGTATTTAATTACAAAGTATTTGAATACTTTGAAGGATTTGAATACTAAAAAGTATTTACAAAATCGAATACTGCCCAGCTCTGTTTAATTTAACTTTTCTTCTTTGTCGCAAAAGTTCATGGCCAAAGCGCTAAATTTAGGCTCAGTCCCAGTATAAAAACAGTATTTTTGCATAGAAAATGTCAATGTAAAACGAGACCATTGAATTTTGGGTGCAATTAGGGCGCTAAATTTCACTTTACCTTAAAAAAATGTCGCTTAATTTTACTTTTCGTTTTTGGCGCAAAAGTGCATGCCCAAAGCACTAAAGTTGGGTTCATTCCCAGTATAAAAACAGTACCTCTGCATGGAAAATGTCATTTTAAAAGGAGACCATTGATTTTTGGTTGCAATTAGGACGCTAAATTTCACTTTACCTTAAAAAAATGTCGTTTAATTTAACTTTTCTTCTTTCGCGCAAAAGTTCATGGCCAAAGCACTAAATTTAGGTTCAATCACAGTATAAAAACAGTATCTTTGCATGGAAAATGTCAATTTAAAACGGGACCATTGAATTTTGGGTACAATTAGAGCGCTAAATTTCACTTTGTCTCAAAAAATGTCGCTTAACTTAACTTTTCGTTTTTGGCGCAAAAGCTCATGACCACAGCACTAAATTTAGGTTCAGTCCCAGTATAAAAACGTCACTTATGCATAACATAACGAGCAAAACTATCAGAATTTCCAGTGAGCTTGGTTTCCAAATGTCACCATGCACTGGAGCAAGTATTAAGCAGCAACACCCTTGAGCTCGCAAGAATCAAAGAGCATGCTGGAATGGAAGGAAGGTAATGAGAAAGCCGATGAGTTATTCCGACTGGGCTCAAAACATGTGTTTTATAGTCCAGGAGCTGCCTCTTCTACTGTAAACAACTTAATAACTCTGGACACCCAAAACCAGCACAGGGCTAGGTGGAACATGTAGTAAATGAAGATGTGCAGAGGGTCCATTGGTATTTGATAATGTGGTTTTCCAAGTTCGTCAATTTTCGCAGAACAATTTCTAACCCATATCGATCCAATGACGTCATACCGAACACTCGATAAAATCGTGTCCGATAAGCCCGAAACCGTAACCGTGACGAGATTTGATGTAGTTTGGAAAAGCAAAGGAGTCGACCTAATTTGAGATTTCGGGAGTGTTGCAAAGTTTGCCAACTATTCCCTTATGGTTGGAGAACTCACCCGCATTTTTTGCACGCCAATGCCGTCTCGTCCGACTTATCCTTGCAATCGGGCGTCCCATCGCATTGTCGAGCTTTGTTTATACAAGCACCGTAATCGCATTGGAACAATAAATCACTGGCACATCTGGAAATCTTCGAATTAGCTTAGGGCCCACTTTTCTCGCAACGTACGGTATAATATTGAAACAGTCCCTCGTTTCGTCCGAGCCGTCCCTGCAGTGCACTGTCCCATCGCAAAGGTGATCCTCAGTGATGCACTCCCCCGAATCGCAACGGAACGACGACTCACTGCCGGAAAATTTTTAACTCAACACACACTCAAAGACAAAATGGCTTACTTGCAGAACCGCGTGCGACGAAACTCGGAGTAATTTTCGGCGTACGTTCCGCCATTCGCAAAGTTCGCAAACAAATAGCCTAGAAACAAAAAAACCGGTTACCAACAAAGCCGAGGTCGACACGCATTCCAATAAACAACTTACTACACGTGAGAAAGACTAAAAAAAGTAACATCGTTACACTTTCCGCGCACCTCAACTATAATTTGGGCCAGTGTTTATTTACTAATAATCGACAACGTTGTAGTACTACCTACTTAACGCGGTTATATTAAGTAAATACTGGCTTGGCCTGGGAAAAACGTCCCAGACTTCAACTGGTATTTCCTAATCTAAACTATAGTGAGCGTCATCGTATTATTACGAAGTAAATCCGAAGCCGCTTATTCATGATTTTGGCTGAATAGGCAGGTTATTTACCTTTTTTTTTTTACCGATTGTAGTTCCACATCCGATTTGGGTTCTTTGTTGGGGTCATCGCCTAGGAAGATCCGAGTACGTCACATTGCTCCTCTCCAAATTGGTGATTTTGAAATGTGCTCGATACAATCTATGGCAAAGGTCAGTTTTTAAAACTGACCAATTGACATGGATCTTATTGACACTTACTATCTGAAGGTCTACAGATTACTGCGTTTCAAATAATAAATAATCTAATTTCTATTTTGTGTTTCCTAGTCTCCATCGTAGGTCGTTCTCCACGATACTTTCTCTTTCTATGTGCTGGTTTCCTCTTCTACCTAATTGTTTCATTCGTTTTTTTGATATGGTAATGACGAAAGAAGAAAGGAGGAAATATGAGATGAAGATGGTAGAGAACTGGACATTATTGAGCAAGAATTTTGAATTGTAGAACCCAAAAAAATATAACCGCCGGAATCTGCCAACTAAAATATGAATAAAAAACGAAGAATTAATGAGCAAGTTGTTCTATCCTAAGACTGAGATTGAACAATAAAACCGATTGGAATATAAACGAAACGAAGAGTCGGATACGGTTTTCAGAAGAGGAATTTTTTGCCACTCGGCTCGCATTCGTTAACACTGATCCTTGAAATTGTAGAAATCGATTGGAGGTTTGACATTGCTGTATGTTTTCGATCTCGAGTTAGACGAGGAACGGACAAAACCATGGAGTAAGAGAATTTTTTTCGAAAAATTCCCCTAAAAGAAACTGTGTATATAATGTAAAGTAAATTTAAATACGGCGTTTATTTATTTACAAATAATTAACAATAAATTTTGCAATGAATGGATTCATAATAATAAAAAATTATTTAATCGTGAACCATTTATTACTTCAGCGTCGAAAATAGAACTGTCGTGTATCGCAATCCGAGTGTTCCCGAGTGGTCGCGAACATTCTTGAACAAAATACGTGACATTTTCCGGAAAGATTACAACACATCCGCCTTTGTTCTTATCGCCGATGACTCGATGTCTATCGGGATTTCTGAAGTATTCGCTACACTGCCCCCCTGCGTCTCGCAACCCGGACGACTGTTGTATCGGAGACACAGTCCCAGGTAACGCGAACTTGACGGCCCCCTCGTCTATCTTCTATTCTTGAAGAAAGGGAAATTCAGCGTCTGTCGAATCACTTGCGAGGTTCCACTGGGCTCAATGCAACAGACTAATACCCCCCCCCCACACACACTTCCAATCAAAATTCTACGACTGACATTGTTTAAATTAATTATCTAAGCGTCTTTAAGAAGAGCTGTATCCTCTTGAGATAAAATAATCTTCATAGGATTCCTTCTCTGTTAACACATTTCTTTTTAGATTGTGCCATATGTTTTAATTAATTTACCAACCTTTCTTTTACCTATATCGCAATCCGAAACCCATTTATTAATGGGGTACGTACGTTTCAATTAAATGGATTTGGGTTTGATTTTGGCATTGGAGTGTTTGGATATATTTTTCTTTCTACGTTACGAACATTGGGGTGATCGTATTAAAGAAGTACCGTGTTCTGGATGAGATGCAAAAACTCACTTTCGAATTGATTAGGCTTAGGATTAGGTTGATTAGGGAATAGATCGTTAAAAATTTTTGAGGCTCGTAGGGTTCCTTTTCGTTCATTGCGTTGTCATGATGCCAATTAATTTATCCTTTAAAAGTGTATCAGGATCACAGAAAAACAGCAAGGCGGCAGTCACCTAAGTTTCTCTCTTAAATAGTTGTACCAAAATCATATTAAAGCCAAAACAGTTTGACAAACCCCTGATAAGGTGTGCTCTCTTGGTATTAGGAGAACAGATTGGCAATAAATATTCACATATTATACTCTCCTGATACAAATTTCTCATATTTTGAATTTGCAGCCAACTCCTCATGATTTGTGTTCTCCTAGTACAATCTCCCTTCTGATGCTTGTATCAGGATCTCCCCTTGCTATAATAATTACATAAAGATAAAGCTTCTAAGGCTCAAATGATCTGAAATATTCCGACTGCGCGTTGAGGATTTTTAAAGTCCACTTCTAACTTCTCTAAAAGATGAATAGAGGGATCCGTTGGATTATCTTGGAAACCTCTGGAGACTCTTTACAGGGAGAGAAAGAGAACGTTTATTTAATGAATGGGGTGTAATTGTCGACACAATAACAGAAAAGTGTAATAATGCTCTAGATCTTTAAAAGAAGGTTACCAAAGGTTCTTAAAAATGAAGGCCACTCTTAAAGGCCTATTAAACATTGCAAATGCCACTAAAAGTCCGTTAATGAATCATAAAATCTTATAAAGAGTCTTCAGGAGAAGCCTCTTGGCGTCTCTAAAAGTGTAGTGCAGTCTTTAAGACTAATTGAGACAAAAACCCGTGAACGAAGGTCGTGAAAGGTTTTCAAGGCTCTTTAATAGGCCATAAGGAAAGTTATCCGGAAGGATGTAATGGAATTTCAAAGACAAAAACCCTCAAAGCCTCTAGCAAGCTCTTGGAGACCGTCGAAAGCATTTTTAAACCAATGGAAGCTGTTCAGGGCTCTTTAAGAGTCTTTGAGATTTTTGGAAGCCCTTACAAGCTGTTATTGCATATGACCTCTGGAACTTCTGCCGGAAAAGGGCATTATCTAATAGAAAAAGGTCTGTAGGATCCAAGAAATTCAGAACCGACAAAATTTGACTTTTGCAAGTAAAAGTTGAGCCATAAAATGCGAAAAGGTCCTTAAAAGTTACAAAAGACTCAAATTTATTCTCTCCTGACCTTTAAAGTATGCAGGCTCTTGAATACCTTTACAGGTTCTGGAAATGCTTTTGTAGGACCACACTTTAGAAAGCTCCAGAAGAATCTTGAACCCTAAATCAAGAGTTGAAAGTGACTAAGGCTTCAAAGGCTGCGACCCTTAAGACTTTAATTTGGATACAGATATAGGAGTTTCAAGAGTTTTTTAATGGACTTAGGAGTCTTTAAAGATTAAGTGATTTTGAAAGGTTAAATCCCCTTTGGGCTCTTATAACGTGTCCTTTATAGTTTCCGAGATTTCTAAACGTTCTTGAAGACTTTTAAAGTTTTCAAAGGTTCTTAAAAGGCCTATAAGAAAGCCCTTAAAGGTTCGGCTTTCAAGTTGAAGCCCTTGCAAACCGTTTAAAGCTGAATAAAAGTTTTTAGAGACCTTTAAAGTCATCTAAGGCCTAATTAACGCTAGGAAACGTTTTTACACTCTTCAAGGGCTGGAGTAAATTAGGTCTCTTAAAGATTACAACACCGGCGCTTCATTTAAATAAAGGTCTGCCAGAGGTTTCAAAGGTCATTCAAAAGCTGTGTAGAATTTTAAGGAGTCATAAAGGTGCTTTCAAAGTTACACTGTAACCGTATTAAGGTACTAAATAAGTCTGGGAGCCACTTGAAAGCTTTTGAATGCTCATTTAGGAGGCTTTCAGAAGGCGTTAATGACACTTAAAGGCTCTCAGATTTTTAAACCTAGTAAAAGGCCACTAAACGCTCTCAAAAGCTCTTGGTGACTATTAAAAGCTATTAGAGGCTTTTTGGGTACTCTCAAGGCTACTATAAGGCCTTGAAGTTTCCTGTAGACCTTCGGAAGGTCAAATTCTCTCAGCGACCTTTCGAGCGCTCCCAAAGCTCTCAAAGATCTCAAAGCATTTTTAAAGGCTTTAGGTAACTGTAAGGGTTTTAGGGACCTTTGAACATTTTTGGAGAGAAATCATTTGATGGCTAATGAATAGCCCTCAGTATTCTTAATGAACAAGAAATCCCGTAAGTGTTGTTAAAGATTTTTAATGATAAAACTTATTAAGGAATGTTAAGGACAAATAAAGGCTTTAAGAGGAGACGTACACGTCTAGGGTGAAATAGTATGGTTTGTGGTGAACCTATAAATTCATCTGAGAGTTTTGTCCATTCGTCCTCGTAGACGTCTTAAAGACTCTCTAAGATAAAGAAATACATCTAAAGGCTTGACCTTTAAAGGTTTGAATCGAGATTCTTAAAGCCTTAATGAATTTAAAGACCTCTATAAACGCTCTAAAAGAACTTTGAACACTCATAATATCTCTAAAAGGACATTCAACAAAGTCTTAGCCGATTAAAGGTTTTTTAAGGACCGAATTTCAAAGACTGAGGTTTCTAGAGCCTCTGTAATATTGAAGGTCTTTAAAGACTCGTGGAGACTTTAGATGGTTTTAGGTGGTTAGGTGATTTATGCAAACAAAGGGGTAGCGATAAGATTAGACACACTTCTACGCATTTGGGTGCGAGTAACGCTCTGTAGATTGGGCAGGAGTGGAGTGCAAGAAGTGCTGGGAGATTCAGGAAGAGGGCCACAGATGAAGAGAAGGCGCACCCAGAGGAAAAGCGATGCTTAAATTGCGGAGAAGTAGGACATCTCCAGGATAAATGCCAAAATACAAAAAATCATATTTGTGTGAGGTAGAAAAGTCGCTCCTCCTCACTATGTCGTGCCCCAAATTTAAGAGTGCCGTAATTCAGGTAGAACAAAGTAGGAGGGCTATCAGGCTGGTTACTAAATAGCATGATAGCTCACTCACGAACAGCTTCGGGAGCAAAATTTATCGAGGGGTGCCACAAGGTTCGGTGCTGGGGCCACTTTTATGGAATATCGCTTATGCTGAAACTGACCCATCCGAGAGAGGATGTTACAGTTTCTGGCAAACTTACAAATTCATTTGTTAGATCCATTCTTTGTAAATGTCTGATTCATATCTTTGGCTTTTAAAGAAAGGAGAGAACTACATACGTGCTACTGAAGCGCTTCACAGCATTTTTTGTAGAACTTTGTGGTTATAATCTGAATAAATTATGTAATTAATTATAGTAAAATTTGCATTAGTCGATGACTGTACAAGAGGAATGTAATGTCATTAGCATTTTACTATGATGTTTGATGGCATTCTTTCTGTTTCGCTGATGGTTATCCTTTTGCGTGCCTAAAAACCGTGATTTCTTGGATTCGACCGATGACTATATCAAAATCCGCGTCACGATTGACCCGAGGCGCTTTTCGTAACGAAGTTAATTTTATCTTCGAGAAATATGGAAATTTTGTTTACAATAAGTCGATAAAAATAGCTACGAAATTGATTTAATCAAAAATATAATGCGCGCCTCCAATCGTAATACTGGTAGATGGTACCGACACGCAGACCCGGACTAGTTTATTATGGCCCATCGGGAAAAAATGTGGGATTGGAATTTGCGACACTTGAAAACTTTCAAGAATCTTCCAGCACAAGCCTTTAGGAGCAACTAAGGTTTTTCTGGGGTCCTCAAAAGTTTGTCCTAAAGTCTTCTGGAGCCTTCTGGAGTTGCAATGGTCTTTAAAAATCTCAAAATTGTTTCTTACCTACATCTCCCTATTTAAAAATCGAGCCTTTAAGACCTTGGGGTGGGGACGAGTCCTATTAAATGATCTTGACAAGTCTTTAAAGGCTTGTGAGAGCCCAAGAGATTCCATAAACCTCAAAGGGTTGCAGTGTCTTAGGTTTCTTGAAATACATTTTATACCCGGGGTTTTAAGAACTTTTGGGGGTCCTCGACAAACTTAATGATCGTTAAGGGCCTTTAGGACCTTAAAAAACTTCTCCTCGGGGCCTTTAAGAGTCTTTAAGGGCGTAAGCAATCTTGAAAAGCTTTCAAAGGCCACAAAAGGTCACCAATAATCCTTACAAACCTTGAAACACCTCATATCTCTCCAGCAACAGTCAAGAATTTAAAACCTTTTGAGAGTTCTTGAAGGATATGTGTCTTAAGGAAGTTTTAAGAGTCTTTAAGGGCTTAAATAAACCCCAAAAGTCGCTGACAATTTTCTAGGGACCTTTACATACTTATTCTGTGTCGTCAAAAATCGAGCCTTTAAGACTCTGGAGAAAGTAATGCGCCCTATTAAGTGGTCTTCAAAGTTTTTTAAGGCTTTTTAGAGTGCAAACAATTCCATGGACTTCCAAGAACCTCAAAGTGTTGGTGACACTTTTGTAGGGTCCTCGAAATGCTTCCCTCTCTTTAATAGTCGGAGTTTTAAGAACTT